GAGGTCATCCAACCCCCTGCTCAAGCAAGACACCCTCTCCCATTTCTGACAAATGGCCGTCCAGTCTCTTCTTAAAAACCTCCAGGGATGGACCACCCACAACTTCTGGTGGCAAGCAGTCCCACTGGTTCACCGTTCTCTCAGGAAACGTCTCCTTAGTTCCAAGTTGCTTCTCTCCTGGATTACTTTCCATCCATGGCTTCCTCACTGGCCTTCGGGGGCTTTGGAGAACAGATCGACCCCCCTTCTTCTTTGGGGGAGCCCCTCCGACATCCCCAAGATGCTACCCTGTCACTCCCTTAGTCTTCCTTTTCATTCAACTAGACATCCTCAATTCTAAACAAACTAAAATTGCCGCGGAGTATTCGCGACGAGCTGTTTTTTGGGTGTGGGTGGGGGGAGAGAAAAAAGTAACCACCCCTTCTTTTGTGCATTCACCCTGCCACCCTTCCTCTTTAGGACCGAGCCCGAATCCCAGGTGCAGTTTCTTCCCCCAGCCGAAAGGTGCGAAGGAATATGGGTTTTGGGGTACACGCACCCTTCGCTCTGCATGCAAAAGGGTTCGGGGCCTTTGCCAGTGGCCGCAATGATGGGTTTGGTTGTCTCTTGGCTCTGAACGGCGACCGTGCCGTTTGGGGGGGCGGGGGGGGAGTACGTCTGCAAGTCCTCCTCGACTTACGACCGTTCCTCGCACTTATCACCGTCGCGGCATCCCTAACCGTGTCCAAATTCAGCTGGCAATGTCTTTGTGACGGTTGTAGCATCCTGTGGTTCTCCAGCGGCGATTTTCTCCATGAGTGGAGTCAACGGGGGGGGGGAGAGGGGGGGGACCCAATTCCCTTTAAGGAGCCCCCTCCCCCTTTAATGCCCCGGGGGTTGGGTCCCCCCCCCCCCCCCCCATGGTTTTGACAAAGGCAGCAAAATCAGGCTTTTCCGAGCAACAGCGATGGAAATTCTAGTGCCCCCCCTAGCCGTCTTAAGTCAAGGATTACCGGCAAACTCTTCCTGGCGCCACCCCGTGGTGCGTCGTTGGCAGTTCTTCCCGCCTCTGCCTCATCCTAGGGCAGGGAGGGGTGGGTCCCTAAACTTGGCCAACTTTTAAGACTTGTTGGACTTCAACTCCCAGAATTCCCCAGCCAGCACAATTTGCTCTCTTGCAATCCCTTCCTCTGCAATCTCACTCCACTTTAGGAGGTTAAGAGAGAGAAAAAAAAGAAACAGACAAGGCTGGCTGGGGAATTCTGGGAGTTGAAGTCCAACAAGTCTTAAAAGTTGGCCAAGTTTGGAGACCTCTGTCCTTAGGGCCTGGGCGCTCCACTTCCTGCAAACTTCTTCCCGCAAACTTTAGTTGGTAGTGGAATTTATAATTCCAGGCGGGGAGTGTGTTTTCCAGACAGTTTATAGTTAATTGGGAATTGGGATAGTTAGTTACGAACTGGGGAGCTATTTCCCCTTAAGGGAATGCGTCATGGTAAATGTAGTTAAGGTATCTTGGGAAATGTAGTCCGTATCATGTGGCCACCTCTGTAATCCTGATTGGTCACTGAATTGACCCTTGGTTGGGTTATGGGAGATTCCTGTTCTCTTGCCTGAACCCAGCATCACGCTGGCATCTCACCTCCATGATCCTTGCTCCTTCGATATGGGATGAAAGATTACCAACCTTTTACACCCTAAAGTCAGCTACGCAGAGAATGGGACGTTGAGATGAATCTCGAACGTAACCGTGAGTTATATTTGAGGATGCCCGATGAGCCAAGAAAGAGACATTGCACGGATGCCTTTGCGGAGTTTAAATCTGCCTGCCTTAAATTCGGCTAGTAATTAAAGGGCAGAACATGCAGGAAAAACTCAACAGAGGATGGGAAGGCCCGTTTTTAAAATGTGGAAACCAGAACCGTGGTTTGCGGGCCACCAAACCATGTTTATTTATTTTTCTTCCTGGTCTCCTAAGCTTCTTTGCCTGGTGCAGACTGGCACTTTGCAAGTCCTACCCTTCTGCTTTCTAAAAAAAATGGTTTTTTCTGTTGTGCTTTTGGACTTTTTTTGGCTCTCTCTCTCTCTGGGTGTGGTTGGTTCTCTGGTTTGGCCGGCTGCGGCTTCCTGGATCATGGCTTAAAATCGCTCTTGTTGGCTTAGCCGAACTTCTACCCGTGAATTTGATTTTCGCAAACGGCTCGGACGGAAGGCCGCGTGGCATGGGGGGCTTGCATTGCGGGGTCTTTTTTGCTTTTCCAGGCGTCGGGAAGAGCCTCCTCCGAGCTTCTCCCCAAAACGAGGACTAAACTTATCTCCTCCAACCCTGTTTCCTTCAGGATTACCCAAACGGAACCCCGGAGTTACAGCAAGGCGCCGCCAAACCGTCCTCGCCCCCCTCAGTGGAAACAAAACACGGAGCTTCAGCTCATGCCAACGTCTAAGGTAAAAGGGACGGAGGGCTGGAATAAAAAGCAGCACTCCTTTTTTTTCTCCTTCTGTTCATCTCCCCCACCCCCCAAAAAAGAGCCAATATTTCTTTCCGCAGAACCAGACAGAAATTCATCCAAGGAAAGATTTTTAATTTTAAAAATTTTAAGATACATCTCGTTTGCAAAACCAGAACAATCGTTGCAAAATAATAATAATAATAATAATAATAATAATAATAATAATAATAATAATAATAGTAGTAGTAGTAGTAGTAGTAGTAGAAGAAGAAGAAGAAGAAGAAGAAGAAGAAGAAGAAGAAGAAGAAGAGGAGGAGGAGGAGAAAATTGTTCCTTTCTCTTGCCCCATGCTAGCTTTGGCCCCACAGATTTAACATGGAGGAATTGGGGGGTGCAGGGTGGGGGAGGCGGCTCCACAAAGCAAACCAAATGAAACCTGCAAGGAAGAACACACCCCACCCAGAAATATTTTGTCCCCTTTCGACTTTGCAATGTGGCAACTAGTATTTCTTAAAGTTGCAGATCGAAATCAGCTGGTTACCATATCTGTGGGTTTCCATGTATTTGGGGGGCGGGGGCAGGGAGGCATGGGCGGGGGAGAATTCGGGGTTCAGCTGGATAAAACGGGGGGCCCCCTTCCCTTTGTGTTGACTAAAAAAAAAAAACTGGAATGTTGCAGGTCTAAAAGTACACTTCTCCCGCTGTTCTCATTTACAGCCTGAGAAACTTAGGGAAGGTTCCTTGTGAATTTTTATTTATTTTTTATTTTTTTGCTCGACCTGTTTATGCAGCCAAGGGCTCGGCTGTCTCTTATCCAACAGTTCTTATTTCCCCACCACAAAGATAAACCCATTTATTTTATTGTAGGGCGGCTTTAGCAGAAGCTCGCAAAGTCTGAAAGTTCAAATCTCCCGCCGTCTCTTTTGTAGTCTGAAAAACTAGAGACGGTTCCTTCTGGACCACTTTTCTCCAGCCTTTTTAGAGAGATGTGGGCTCAGCAACCTCTTATCCAAATGTTCCCTGGGCACCTATTTTTTTCTCACCCAATCTCCCGAGGCCCACTCCGCACACAGAGGAGCGAATTCTACTTTTATTTCTACGGAGATTCTCACTCATCCGGGCCCACGGTTATCCCAAGGAGCAGCTGGACTGCCTTAGTTTTTTTGCCCTGAAGACGTTTCGCTTCTCATACCAAGAAGCTTCTTCAGTTCTGGCGGAGGATGGAAGGGTTTATTATATTCCTGTTCTTCTGACCCAAACACTTTTCCAATAAGACAAACTTAGAACAGAAACCTTTTAATGAGTCTTACAAAATCCCCAGTTAAAAGGTTGCTGCAAACTCACTTTGATAAGCACAAACCTTGCCAAAACTGGGTGAGGCTGCCAAGAATCACAGATAGGAAATATTTCACTACACAAGAGACTTCAAATACCAACCGAAGATACTATAATGTCCACGAGGCTGAGTTTCAAAACGTCTTTGCTTCCTGCAAAGAACGTTCACTTCACAGCTGGCTTTTATCTTCTTGAAGGAGGGGCCATTACTTTGCAGCCTTACTCCCGAGTCGCCCGTGCCTTTTATCCCCCAGAGCGAGGGTGGGGCCTCGCTCGCAGTGGTGGCTCTTCCGTCCAGGGATTCTACCAGTTTGCACCTATTTGCCAGAACCGGTTGTTAACATTCTAAGCAGTTGGGAGAACCGGTTGTTAGAAGAAATTCCTGGGCTAATCCTGTAAGGAAGGCAGGAAGGAAACATTCTGGTGTTGCTTACAAAAACTGCCTCTCCGTTAACCCTTATTACATTCTTGGCAGGACTAGACTTCCTGTCTCTGGAACCTCTCTGGAGTTTTTTTCGCCCCTCCTTTGCTGGTCCTTTACTTGCGTGGAGCTCCAATGGCACTGAAAAAAAAGTGACTTATGACCCTTTTTCACACTTACGACTGTTGCAGCATCCCCACAGTCACGAGAAGCCAGGCGAGGAGATGCGTGCCTTGATGTGAGTGATGTTGAGTTGGCCACCACCCAGCCAGTCACATGACCACCAAGCCACGCCCACCACCTAAGCCATGCCCCCCCAGAACCGGTTGTTAAAAATGTGAATCCCACCCCTGCTTCTGTCCCAAGGACCGGCCCATAGATTTCCACTGCTCTCTCCTCTCCTCTGCGCATCAGCTATTCCTCCTCTTCCTCATCAGCCCCGTCCAGACCTGGGGGATGTTGACTCGCCATCTGAGGGCGGACGGACGGGCCAGGCTCCGTCTCTGTATCTCTTGTCTCTCTGCCCTGATGTTGACCCCGACTCCCAACCACCTCCTCCTCCTCCTGTTCAGATTTGGCTGCTGGAGAGGCCGGCGGCCGACAGACAACAACGCAAGGTCTTTCCCGCACACCGTTTTGGTGGACGGGGTAGAATTGTCGGTCCTTTCTTCGGCTCGTCCTCGAGAATCCGGGGCCGAGTCCCCCAAAAGAGCAAGCAGAGGAAAACGGGGGGGTGAATCACAAGACACACCCACCCACACAACCCCAACCTCCCTCTAAAACTTGGCTCGCCCTCCTCCGCGCGTCTGTCTTGTCTTTACCTTCTCTTGTCAGTTTGGTGCATGCTGCATGGCGCCACCGCCCCCCCAAAACCACGCATGGCGTAACCTCCAGCATGCGGCCAGTGCCGTGTTTAGCCTCCTCGTTCCATTCTCTCTCTCTCTCTCTCTCTCTTTTCTTCCCTTCTTCTCCGGGCGGCCGCCTTTTTTCTGTCTCTCGCTGCAGCAGCCCGTGGCGATGGGTGCCTCGCGGCCTGAGCCACCCGCCAAGCCGCTCCCGCCTGACCCGATCCCGAAGGATCTGCAGGTAACCGAGTTGGGAGAAGGAGAGGGGAGGGGGAAGGAGAGGGCGAAATCTTGGCATGTTCTTCGAGGCTGCGGCATGCGCGTTGCATGAATAAGCACGATCCCCCTCCCCAGTTCACGTGGGACCCCCGCTAGTCCAACTCTGGATTAGCGAGGATTGGAGAGTGGGATCCACTCTTTCCGGAGGTCCCCCGAAGAGCCTCGAGGAAGATTTAACAAACAGGTAGTCCTCGCTTTACAACGGCTCACCCGGTGACCGTTCTGAAGTTACGACGGCACTGGGGGAAGGGAGGGAAACAGGAATGTAGGACCGGTTTACACCCCTGCAGTCCCATGATGGGAATTCTTGGCAATTCTTGGCTCATATTGATGATGGTTGCAGGGTCCCAGGTGTGTGTGTGTGTGTGCGTGTGTGTGCGTGTCACACAATCCCCTTTTGCAACCCTCGGACCGGGTAAGCCAGATTCGCTGGATAACCACGCTGCCGGTTTAACGAACCGCAGTGGGTTCCCCTGAAAAAAGAAGCGTCGCAAAAAAGTGGGGCAAATCGTGACTTCACAAAACATCTCGCTTAGCGACGGGAAAGGTTGGGACTCCCCATTATGGTTGTAAGTCGAGGACTGCCCTGTATTATGTCCAATACGCCTAGCCACAAATCCATTGCAGGGTTTTTTCCCCCCCACACCCCTGAAGATCCTTAAGAGACTTGATGTTTCTTCTTAATAAATTACCATTTCTTATCTCCTTTCTAAATAATAATAATAATAATAACTCCATCTTTCAACCTTGCATGTTGTTCTTTGCTACCTGAACTTTTTCTGCCCAGGATTCCTCTGGAGACAGACCGGGCCCTCCTATACGCCCGTTGCCTCCTGACCCCATCCCCAAAATCCAGGTAATTGCTTCGTCCTTTCACCCTGGTGGTGAATTGACCTGGGGGGAGGAGGAGGGACTCCATTTGGAAACGGAAAAGAGGGGTGAACAGACGGAATAGCGTTCATCAATCTTGGCGGCTTTAAGAAGGGTGGACTTCAACTCCCAGAATCCCCCAGCCAGCATGCTTTAAGATGGGTGGACTTCAACTCCCAGAATCCCCCAGCCAGCATGGACTCCAACTCCCAGAATCACCCCAGCCAGCATGCTTTAAGAGGGGTGGACTTCCACTCCCAGAATCCCCCAGCCAGCATGGACTCCAACTCCCAGAATCACCCCAGCCAGCTTGGTTTAAGACGGCTGGACTTCCACTCCCAGAATCCCCCAGCCAGCATGCTTTAAGATAGTTGGACTTCCACTCCCAGAATCCCCCAGCCAGCTTGGTTTAAGACAGCTGGACTTCCACTCCCAGAATCCCCCAGCCAGCTTGGTTTAAGATGGCTGGACTTCAACTCCCAGAATCCCCAGCTAGCATGGTTAAGAGTGGTGGACTTCAACTCCCAGAATCCCCAGCTAGCATGGTTAAGAGTGGTGGACTTCAACTCCCAGAATCCCCCAGCCAGCATGGTTAAGAGTGGTGGACTTCAACTCCCAGAATCCCCCAGCCAGCCTGCTTTAAGACAGGTGGACTTCAACTCCCAGAATTCAAAGCCCTTCTACTTGCAGGGCACAGCCCCCCTGCCCCTATGCCCACCCTTCTAAGATGGCCTCCAACTCACGAAGCCAAAACAGGCTGGGGAATTCTGGGAGTTGAAGTCCACCCCTCTTAGAGTCACCAAGATTGAAAATCTCTACCTCCCCCACTCATTGGCCCTGGAGGATCTATTTGAGGGGTGGGCCCCATTTTGATTCAGTGCCTTTGGTCAATGCAATTTTGGCTCTTGTTTCCCCACCCCAGGCACCAGGCCCCCCCAAGCCTCCCCCACCCCAGAAGCCGCTGCCTCTGGATCCGCTCCGGGCCATACCCAGCTATGATCCTGAGGTCCAGATGTTGCCATCCAGGTGAGTCTAAAGGTGGAAAAGAGGTATATTTTTAATTTGGGGGGGGGGGGGAAGGAAAAAAAAACCTGCTTTCCTGCAAATGGTTGCAGTGATATTATTATAGGATAATCGAAACCGTCATAAATGTGAGCAAGTTGCCAAAACTGTCATAAGTTTGTTTGTTTGTTTAGTGACCAAAGTTACAATGATGCTTAAAAAAGGGGACTTACGACCAATTTTCACGCTTAATGCCGATTGCAGCCTCTCAGTAGGTCACGTGACCAAAATTCAGACACTCGGCAACTTACTCGTATTTACGACGGTTGCAAAGTTCCAGGGTCAGGTGATTCCCCCCCCCCCCCCCCCCCGTTTGACGATGGGGAAGTCAGGTTCACTTAACAACCATGAGACTAACTTCCCAGCTGCAGGGATTCGCTCAACGACTGTGGCACGGAAGGTCGTACAATGGAGCAAAATTCACTTTAACGTCTCACTTAGCAACAGAAATTCGTGGTCGTAAATCGAGGACTAGCTCTCTCTCTCTCTCTCTCTCTTTTTTTTCTTTCTTTCTTGGCTTTTCTTCCAGGCCTGCCCCTCCACCTCCTCCCACGCCGGCCAGCTCTTCAGGATACCCCCACGAAATATAACTTGGCTCGCTCGCACCGAGCGTCCCTTCGACGTTGCACAAGGCACTTCCGGAGGAAAGGACTGTCCGCCATCTTTCCCCGTCGCTTGCTTGGCTGTAGATTTTGCAGAACAACAGCGCTCCCCCCCCCACTCCATCCGTCGCAAGCACGGGGCAGCGATGGGGGCTTGTCCGGGATGGACATTTCGCCGGCCATTTTGACCGTCTCTTGCTTCTGAATCCTCTCCGGCCCAGGGGAATTCTGGGAAAAAAAAATATTTGCACTAGCAAGGCGAACTCTCCGTGGCGCCCCCTGGAGAGGCAGTTTGTGGATGCGCGTGTCACACACCCGTGAGTGTGTGCGTGTGTGCAAGAGAAAAGCGGAAGTGGATTCCTCATCACTGGACTAGCTGTGACGCCATCTTTTTTTTCCTTTTTCCTTAATAAAAAGGGATTTTGGGGTCAAATCCTCTGTTTTTTGGATCGAGGAACAGTTGACAGGGCAGCGCTCAACTTACAACTGTTCGTTTAGTGACCGTTTGAAGTGACTGGGTGTCCTAAAAAAAAAGCAACTTGATATTATGGCCATTTTTCACACTTAATGACCATTTAAGCCTCCAACGCAGTCCCGTGATCCATATTCAGCCGTTTGGCAACTGACTTGTCCTTATGAGGGTTACATGATTCCAATTCCAGGGAGGAAGCCTGATTTGCTTAACGACGGTGTGGCTCATTGAACCCCTGAAAGCGATTCACGTCAACGAACGTGGCGGGGAAAGGTGTAACGTGGGGGCAAACCTCATTTAGGACAAAGGTCTCGCTTAGTGGCATAAATTTGGGGCTCCGTTGTGGTCGTAAATTGAGGACTGCCTGTATTCTCTCCCCCCCCCCCCGCCCCCAGTCTCTGCATTATTCGTCCACTAGAGGGCACTTCAGTCCATCATCTCTCCCAAACTTGCCTTTAATTTGATTTCATTTAATTTATTTTAATTTGATTTATTAAACGAGTGAAAAATGAAGCAGCTATGAAGTGAAAGAAAAGGCAGAAGGGCTCAGCAGTGGAAAGTTTGCCCCACTTTACGACCTTCCTTGACGCGGTCGTTCAGCGAATCACTGCCGTTCTTCAAGTTAGTTCACACGGTTGTTTAGCGAATGCAGTTTTCCCCATGGAAGGTCGCAAAAGGAGGACCAAGGCACTGCAACTGTCATAACTACAAGTCAACTGCCGAGTATCTGAATTTCAGCCATGCAGGGAACTCTGCGATGGTCATAAGTGTGGAAAACGGCCCCAAGTCCCTTTTTGTCAGTGTGGTTGTAACTTGGGTTACTAAATGATCGGTCGTAAGTGGAGGACTCCCTGTACAGAGGGAAGGTAAAAACACGATGATCGGGATGTTGGGAAGGTCTGATAAGAAATTCCTTGACTTGCAAACGTTCATTTAGCGACCAACGTGAACGGCGCTGGAAAAAAAATGCGATTCGTGACCGGTCCTCGCACTTATGACCATCGTCGCAGCCTTCCCCACAATCACGGGATCAAAATCGGGGCGCTGGGCAGCCGGCTGGTATTTAAAACAGTTGCGATTCGAGGCCAAGTGGCTGCCACCTTCCCAGCTGGCAAAACCAATGGGAGTGGAGAAGCCGGATTCACTTAACGACGGCTTTGCTCAACAAGCCTGGCCAAAATAATAATGTTAATAATAATAATCGGGCGTGATTCGTTTTAACAACCCCCGCTTGTTCTTACGACCTTTTCCGGTGCCATCAGAAGCTTCTAAAGGGTCGCGAAATGAAAGTTTGTAAACAGGCCTCTTGATAATATCACCAGATGGTGACACCTCCGTGATTCGGCTTCACCCAGATAGACTGCCTTTGGAGTTGGAGGTTCTGGCGGATCCAGCTCGACGACAACTCCTTGCCTTTGCAGGTGACACCTGGCCAGCCCTGAAGCAGGTGGCACTTACCTACATAGATAAAGCTGTATAAATAAACATTTATTTATCTGTTACGTGTATTTGCCGCCTGTCTGTCTGTCTCGCCGTAAGGACCTCTTTGGGCTCTGTTGTTCTTTTTGAGCAATGGGGTTGGACCAGATGACCTCCAAGATCCCTTCCCACTCTGTCTTTTGAGCCAGGGGGTTGGATTAGATGACCTCCAAAGTCCTTTCCAGCTCTGTTATTGTCTTTTTAAACGGGGTTGGACTAGATGACCTCCAAAGTCCCTTCCGGTGGTTATTCTGTCTTTTGAGCAGGGGGTTGAACTAGAAGACCCCCCAAAACCCCGTCCAGCTCTGTTATTGTCTTTTTAAACAGGGGGTTGTACTAGATGATCTCCAAAGTCCCAGCTCTGTCATCCTTCCTTTTTTTCTGTATTCTGAGCAGGGGGTTGGACTAGATGACCTCTCTAAGTCCCTTCCAGCTCTGTCATTGTCTTTTTGAGCAAGGGGGTTGGACTAGATGCCTTCCGAGGCCCCTTCCAGCTCTTATTCTGTCTTTTTTGAGCAAGGGGGTTGGACTAGATGACCTCCAAAGTCCCAGCTCTGTCATTCTCCCTTTTTTGTGCAAGGGGGTTGGACTAGATCACCTCCGAAGCCCCTTCCAGCTCTATCATTGACTTTTTTTGAGCAAGGGGGTTGGACTAGATGACCTCCAAAGAACCAGCTCTGTCAACTATCCCTTTTTTTGAGCAAGGGGATTGGACTACATGACCTCCAAAGACCCAGCTCTGTCATATTCCCTTTTTTGAACAAAGGGGTTGGACTAGATGACCTCCAAAGAACCAGCTCTGTCATTCTTTTTTTTTTTGAGCAAGGGGGTTGGACTAGATGACCTCCAAAGACCCAGCTCTGTCATTCTCCCTTTTTTGAACAAGGGGGTTGGACTAGATGACCTCCAAAGAACCAGCTCTGTCATTCTGTCTTTTTTTTGAGCAAGGGGGTTGGACTACATGACCTCCAAAGACCCAGCTCTACTCCGGTAAGTAGACGAGGAGTAGAGGCAGGCGGGAAGAAGGTTGGGCCCCTCCTCCTCCTCCTCCTCCTCTTCCCCCCTCCCCTCGCTTGGAAGTTTGGCTCAAAGTTTTGTTTTTCTTTTTTGGGGCTCCAGCGCGGCTCCTGATTGGCGGAAAAGTTGCGAGCGAGTGCGGGGGGGGCGGGGGGGAGGCGGAGGAGGCGGGGCCGGGCTTTCCCCTCCCCTCCCGCCGCGACTCCTCCGGGCCGCCGCCGACGCTGCGCCCCCCTTTTTTCCCCTCCCGACGGAGCGATGCGCCCCACGGAGGCGCTGCTGCCTTGGGGGCTCCTGGTCTTTTGGGGCGCCCTCCTGGCCCGGCAGGTGCGAGGCCTCCGGCACAGCGTCTACTGGAACGCCAGCAACCCCAGGTAGAGCCAGGACCGGGGCGGGGGGGGGGGGGGGAAATGGGGGGGGGGGCGCCGCCAGGGTTCCTTCGCCCATCCTCCACTTCCAGGGCTCTGGAGTGGTCAAACGCAGCCCCTCCCTTCTTCCTTCGTTCCCCTTTCTTTCTTTCTTTCTTTCCTTCTTTCCTTCCTTCTCTGCCTCTAATCCTCCCTTCTTTCCCCTTTCTTTTCTTTTCTTTCTTTCTTTCATTCCTTCTTTCCTTCCTCCCTTCCCCCCCAATCCTTCCTTCGCTCCCCTTCCTTCCTTCCTTCCTTCCTTTCTTCCTTCCTTTTTTTCCTTCTTTCCTTTTCCTTCCTTCTCCCCCTAATCCTCCCTTTGCTCCCCCTCTAATCCTTCCTTCTTTCCCCTTTTCTTTTCTTTCATTCATTTCTTCTTTCTTCCCTCCCTTCTCCCCCTAATCCTACCTTCGCTCCCCTTCCTTTTCTTTCTTTCATTCATTCTTTTTCTTTCCTTCTTCCCTGCCTTCCTTCTCCCCCTAATCCTTCTTTCCCCTTTTCTTTCTTTCTTTCATTCCTTCTTTCCCCCCTCCCTCCTTCCTTCCTTCTCTCCCTCCTTTCCTTTCCTTCCTTC